CAGGGACACAGCTGCTTCACCATGGTCTCACCACAGCCTGAAGAGGAATCTCAGCTTCAGCTCCTGGAGCACCTCCAGCCCCCTTCCTTCTCCACTGACCTTAGTGTTGCCACGTTGTTTCCTTGACACATTCTCACTTTCTCTTTGCTGACTGCACCTCCTGTTTTGATTTTCTTAATTTAGAGAGGCATTACCATCACCTCTAACTGCCCCAGCCTTGATTCACAGCACATCCATCTTCAGATCCACAGGGACTCGCTCTGCTGGGCATGGTGGAAGCTTCCAGCAGCTTCTCACAGAAGCCATCTCTGTGGCTCCACCACTACCAAAAATCAGGTCATGCAAAACTCACACATTAATTTAAATTTTCCTTTAGTTACAAGAATTGCACATAATTTCTGCTCAAACTGGCATTAAAAGTAAACACTTTGTCAATGTTGTTTTATACATCCCATAAAAACTGAATTTAGCTTGGAAAAAATCTATGTTCACTGTTCAGTGAAAGGTTTGATGTCATTTCTCAACACTAGTCTGTCAAGAACCTTCAACCTAATCTTGAACTGAAGTTCCAATACAAATAGCATCTTGACATAAACCTGGAGGTAGATGATGGGGAAAGAAAGTGCTAAACTGGGGTCACTGAATGAACTACAGGCAGCAGAAACACCTAAATGGAATCACAAATACATGATTACACTGTTCTTAGGTTAAAATCAGTTGAGCAAAACCTTTTAAGAACACTTACCCTGATTTTCTACCAGGGAAACAAGATTCTCTTGAATTAAGAAGGTATTGACAAAGAGTTTTCCAGTAAGTTTTTCAACATGTTCTCCATTAAGACTACTTGAGTGCAAAAATAAAATAAAACAGGCAGCTGACAGTGCACTTCACTCCCCACCCCAACTTCCCTTGGCAGCGTTTTCCTCCAGCTGAAAATTACACTGAAATATTTTCCTGCAGATATATTTATTTAAAGAACCACAAAGCTTAAACCAAAATTGAATACCATACCTTTCAACAAATATCGCTCTTCAAGTTTTTATTTCTCCTTCCCAGCTGACTTGGTCCTTCCAACTCTCACCCTCTCATAAAAAGTAGTAAAGATTACTTTTCATCTTTTGAGTTATTTCAATACTATTCTAGGGACTGGTTTCTTGACTCCATTTTTTTTTTGGGAGAGCATGCAGCTCTATGCTGTAACAGCCATCATTTATTTAGCACCTTTCTGTGTAAATGATTACGAAGAATGGGGCCAGATCATTTTATTGAAAAATGTAACAATTGCAGAACTCCCTCTGTTGCCTGACCACAACTCACAAGTCATAATATGGGAGACAAAGCAAGAAACACCCAGTGGGGTCCTTTAAACAATGCTAAACCAGGTTCCCTTAAAGTGTTTGCTGTAGGTTACAAGTGACTCTCTTCACAGAAATGGGCAAGCTTTATCAGCTTCTTCTAACAGGTACAGTTCACTTGCACTTACTGCAACCAGAGACCAAAAGCACCCTCCCTTTACCTGAAATTCAGAATGGATGCAAAAATCTTCAAGGACAGTTCTCAGAAAAAGGAACCATACTGCCCAGAGTATTTCACTCTGAATTATTAACATAAAGCTTAAATACATCCTCTACTTATGAGCAGCAATTTAAGTATACTGTCCATTCAGCTCACTTTCAAGTACACAATTAAGACTTTGCTCCTTTTGCATAATATATAGCAGTAAAATTACAGTCTACAAAATGAACAGTATTTCTCTAAGTAGATATTTAAGTAAATAGTTTTGCAAAGATATTCATACAAAGAATGACAGCCCACTTCTCCACAATGAGAGATTCCCTAGTATTGCCTAGTCAGTTCTGATTCTCACTAACTTGGGTACTATGGCTCCTGTACTCTAAGTGTTGCAGTGTGATTTCCTGTTTCACCTATCCCAACCCCCTCAGGTGTGCCAACCTTTCCCCCTCCCCCTTTTGCCCTCCTGCCTAAGAGCTGTCCATCAATCTTAACATTCCAGCAGGGCATCGTGTGGTTGGCAGATGCTCCTCTGGTCTGCGTTCACTGGCCTGTCCTAGCGTCTATCTCCCTTCACCCTTCCCCTCCTCACACCTGCTTGGCCATTACCTGTTCCGTCCCCTCCCCCTGTCCCTGGGGCTTAAAAGGGGATGAGACCATGCAGTCCCGTCGTATGTCTGTGAGCTGTTACCACATTCAGAGGTCTGCCATGCTGAAATAAAACTCTGGATTAAGACTCTACGATAGAACCTGCTCCTTTTCTCTTCACCGTCACCTGAACCTTTTCCACCAGAGGTAAACTGAGTTCCTACTTTGCCTGGACTTGTTCCGAGTGCCCAGCTGCAGCACCCAGCCAGCCAAAGGTATCTCTGGGGTGAAAAACGCCACAGCTGCCGCCTTTGGTCCAGCAGCAAGAGCTAGACGAAGCCAGGCACCCCACACCTGGAAACCTCGGGACTAATATTCTGTAATTGCCTAGTCAGTTCTGATTCTCACTAACTTGGGTACTATGGCTCCTGTACTGTAAGAAGAGTTAGAAGTATTGCCTCCCTGGATTTAGTGGGAAGACTGTACAAGACAAGAGTGCTCAGCACTGTGTGCTAAATAGCAAGCCATGACAAGCCTGTAAGCTTGTTGAGCTGTGCAAAACATGATGACCTTGCTCTTTTCTTTGGGCATCCAATGATATGCATTTTTGTAGCACACTGCATTGATAAGAAAAAAAAAATAAATGAAAAAGCAACTTTATGTAAATCTAGAACTGTTAGTGACTGCTACCTCCTACAGCTTCTACAAACCTGGGAAAATTCTTGAATGTAAGGCACCAAGCTTGTTCTAAAGCAAACTTTTCCACAAGAGATAGCAGAAGTGTATTTATATCAGTCAAAGCTAAAAACATTCTACTAGATGCAACACAGGGGTCCATCCTTCTCTTCAGCCTTTCTCCATAAAAAACATGTATTTTTCACTAAGTTGTGAGCGTAACCACTGACCTTTAGTTCCAGTTTGTGAAACTGCAATGACATATAGCTGATACAGAAGCAATCCAAGTGCACATCTCAAACTTTTATTGAAGAGCTGTTTAACAGATCCTTAAATCATCTTAACACAAAATTCAAACTTTATAACTGACATGCTACAAAAAAAAAAAGGAACAAAGTTTAGGTGAACCCTTACATAAAGCTCCTTCCTAAACTGGGTCTTCACAAGATTATCTTCGCATGCAACATTTCACTTACAGCAAAACACAGTACAAACTAGTCTGGTATAAAGCAGTTTAATCCCATGACTCAATTTCTCTTGCAGAACAGTCCATCTTTACTTCTCCTGCATTCACGTTGCCTCTGCCTCTGCCTCTGTAATTCTAGGAAACACAACAGGTCCTAGTTTAGAATTATTAACACTTTCAATCATTTAATGGTAAGTCATCACAAAACAATTTTAGCTTTCTGCATGCACCTATCTCAATGTAATCTGAACACTCAGGAAGTCTTCATCATTAATCTCCTATACACAAGGATTTTTTTACCCTGGTGTGAAATTACTGCAGTTTAGCCAACCTCAGATTTTATCACACATGGGAATAACACTTCCCACAGTTCACATCTCAACTTCTTTTCTTACCCAACACATATCAGTTCATACAATTGTGGGAAAAAAACTTCCTTTTCCACTACATACTACAGAATGACTGTCTGCATTACCTTCCCAGTAATGCAAATCCTTTTCATTTAGAAAAAGAATAAAGCTCAGGAATCTCTAAGACTGCCTCAAAACAATCATGTAAGATCCTCCAACAGATTCCTCTTTCAAATTCATAATTTGATTATCAAATGGACTTATCATGAAAAATGGGGCTGATTACATATGAAGAGTTTCTGTCAGACTGACATGTGAAGGTCTCATGATAATTAGAACCTCACGTTCTTCAACTCAAGGAGCTGATGCACTGCATGTTTGTGATCCTAAGGGACGCATTCCCAAAGCAAGCAGACAGATTTCACACAAAAATCTATTCTATTCTGGACAAAGAGTCACAGTCAAATTTGGTTACTCAGAGGTTGTGAAGGCCATTTATGAACTTGGACCTAGAAATTATGGATTTCATGAAATGCTGGGAGACACTAAAAGGCTGGAGACATGCATTTGGAAGCAATCTAGTGAGATCCACCTCTGAAAGCAATCTAGTAAAAAAGCAAAAATAAAGTCTCCTTGAACTAGACTATTTCTTGTAGAATATATAAGAAAGATCCACTGAGTCAAGAGTTAGTCTGCAAGAAAACGTTTGTGCAAACATACACAACAGTTGTAACGTGAGGCTGTGAGTTTGAGAAGGAAGGAACGTTTGCGTATCTGACATCTCATGAAGTCCCCCACCCTCAAAAAATGATCTAGTGAAGGGACTAGCCAGCCAGGTAAAAACACCCAAACCATCCAAAGCTTTCAATAACTACCGTATGGGAAAAGATAATTAATGAAAGGAAGATCAGAGCTTGAAGTGAAGCTTCAGACAGACATTGTGTAAGCACTGAGAGCAGTTATTTCTACTATGATCTCAAAGGAAGTACATTTCTAACATATGGAAGCAACTGATCTGTGATAAAGTTCTTATGGAATCAAGATATGAAGGAAAGGCTTTCAATTTCAAATAGGAGTAAGCACAGAATTTAAAATTACCAACAGCAAGAGACTAGAAAGCTTCTCCCCATCACAGACGTGAAGAATTTTGACACAGACCAGACCAGGGCATTTACCTAACTATAACTAACTGAAGTTTTCAGTCAACTGAGTTGCTTGACTAAGTGATTCATAACAAGCAGTAACTGTATAATCAGGAACTATTTGCTCCCACCAAACGTGTGTAGCACAGAAATTTCTGAACTACAGCTTTTGTTTATGTTTGCATGAATGTTTTCTTCCAGAGGAATTCTGACTTTATAGATCAAGACTGCAGCAGCTAGTAAGGGGCCACACTGTAACAGCCCAAGTCAAGCAACTTGTCTGAAATTAGTTTCAGTAATACTGAATTCTTTGAAGATGCACAACTAAGAAAAGGGACACAATTACAGTCAGAACAGTTTCAGTGGCTTTACTCTGGATATATACCACTAAAGACAGTTTTAAACTGTCTCAGACAAAAATCTAATAGCCAGGACTTTCAATTAACTTTCAGACCTACCTTTTGGGTATTATTAACTGGGAGCCGTCCTCCTTCAGTCTCAAAAGCAACTTCTGTCAACCAAACGGGAACTTCCTGCTGAGCCTATGCAATTAGGAAAATCAATTCAGAGACTTTGACTGCTTTACCAATTCAGATCAAGAGTTCCATAACTCTACCAAAAATGTCACAGTTGTTCAGTACATTCAAGTGAAATCTTAAAGAACAGAAAAAGTTCAGCACTAAGATCTGAAACTTACATCCGAAAGCACTTTAATTAGAGGTTGTGCAAGATGACCATCTGAATTGTTATCAAAGAAGCCAACTGCTTTCCCTGTATTTCCACAACGACCAGTTCGCCCAATTCGGTGTACATACTCTTCAATGGTGGAAGGAAGATCAAAATTAATGACATGCTGAACGTTTTCAATGTCCAGACCTCTTGCTGCCACGGAAGTTGCCACAAGAACTGGACATTTTCCAGAACGAAAATCCCGAAGTGCTATTTCTCTCTCTCTCTGTTCTCTATCTCTAGAAAGAAAGCAAGGTCGAGAATGGGTATTTCATGGAAAGAAGCTCTTGGGGGGGGAAGAACTCATACACTGCCCAGTTAAGGCTTTCTGAATTTTTAACTGAAGAGCAGCAAGACAGAGCAACTGTTTAAACTTAAGTCTCTAGAGAAATTGAGATTTTTTTTTTTTAAAGAACTGGAGATAATTATGCATCAAACTCACTACCTCTCTGAAACAATCCACTTGTGTTTAACTGATTACAATTCTCTACACCTTTGTAGCAGGGAGCCAGAATAGCAAAGAAAGTCTACACAGACCCCCGCACAGGCCATTTTTCAGATATACTAAAAAAACTGGCCAGTCAACAGTGCAGAATTTGTCTTCTGTTTATCATCATAACAAGAAAACTAGATTTGCTCTGGTGTTTCCATGTTTGAAGAATATTTACAAATTATCCAGTATTGAACTACAGTGGATGAGAAATCACTCATGTTCTTTATTGTCCAAGTAAGAAAACAAATTAGTAAGCTAACCAGTGCTCTTCAGGATCTTACCATGGGATATTTAGTGAAGCCTGGTATGACCACTACTCCAGAGAACACAAACTATCCTAACTTCAACTCATAAAGGTAAAATTAACCAGAAACCAGTAACATTCATGACAGTTCAACATATCCCATAGAACCAGTTATTCGACATATACCTCAATTCACACTATAGTAATTTTACAGAAATGTACTAAGAACCTGCTTCCACACAAGGGGGTTGTGGGTTAGCAATTCAGGCTCACCAGCCAGAGGATATACAGAGACATCCTGCATCTGCAAAGACCATTTTAGCCCTTCTTCAACCTTGATATTCTGGTGTCTGTCAGAACACATGGCAAGCTAAACTACACAGATATGGCCAAATGTGAATCCTCAACAAAAGTTCTTAAAAAACACAGGTGACTTTCACTTTAAAAATACTTACCCATGGATACTAGTGGCTGGTATATTTTCTTGACAAAGAAAGCATGCAATGAAATCTGCTTTTTTCTTCGTGTCCACAAAGACCAGAGTTCGTTCATTACCTATGTTGAACAAAAGTTTGAAGCCATTGCAGTTTGAATCATGACACAATTTTCACTATTTAGTCTTATCTATATTGACACCTAATACTTATCTCTATTAACACCTAATACAGGCACGCATTTTGAATGAAGTCTTTTAAGTATGAATAATTTTTTGCCTATTCTGAGCTAATTAAGTTCAATCAATCAATTTCTGTATCAATAGAGAAGCTGAGTGAAGACATATACAGTTTTTCTCCTCAATAAAAAAAAACGAAAATTGTTCCCTGCAACATGCATGCATTTCCTTTCTACAGCATGTGGCTCAAAGCAGTACATTATCCTGAGCACTGAACAGCAAGACTCCACAGACCATTTTTTGATTCCAAACTTGCATTCACTCTTCAGCACTAAAACAAGACATACAGAACAAATATGGAAAAATCCCAGACACTAATAAAACACAGGCCCAAACATTCACACAATAATTTTAACAACCCTGTAATGATGAGATAGTATCCCCAGATGCTGAAGTATTGTAACTGATCATATAAAGCAGAAAGCCATGTAGGAAGGTTGTCTGATAGTACTTAATAGAATCACTGACAAATACTGGTCATTAGGTTAGATTCAATTATATTTACAAGTCCTTTCCAACCCAAACTAGCCTATGACTATGAAACAGCCCTACACAAATATGCCTAAAAACCTGCAGCTCCCCAATTCTGCTTCAAGCTTCATCAACAGTCTTGTAAAGCACGCAACACACAACAAAAACATACAACCATGACCTTTCAAACAGAATTTTAAAGCCAAGCAAGTTTGGCTTCTCTGGTGAACAACTGGCATTAAGTAAAGTTACCTATGCTGTGTAGAATTTCTATCAGTTTATCCCTCTTGAAATACTGAGAAACTTGAAGAATATTTTGCTGAACATCACTGCATGCTCCACCCGCATGTCCAACAACAACAAATAAAAAATCAGTTTTCAAAAATTCACAAGCTAGCCTGAAAAAGAGATAAAATTGAGCAACATGAAAAATCTTATGTAATTATTCTTGCTTTAAAAGCACATATTTTTGTTTATGTTTAAGCAACATTCACAAATAATATTTTTATCCTCCATTTTGTGAGGAGAATACAGGTAGTCTTGTATACATTTTTAAAAAGCCAGAAGAGTCTGCATAGTTTGGTCCAGCACACAAACCACATACTGCGCTGTGTAAAGTGTGACCAGTAGGTCAAGGGATTCTACTCTGCCTTTGTAAGGCCTCAACTGGAGTACTGCATCCAGCTGTGGCATCTTCAGCAGAAGACAGACATGTCAGAGAAGATTTAGAGAGGCCATTATGATGATCAGAGGACTGTACCCCCTCTCCTCTGAAGATAAAGAGAGAGTTGAGGAGTGGGGATTATTAAGCCTGGAATGACCTTAGCGCAGCCTTCCAGTACCTAGAGGGGGTTTACAAAAAAGACAGAGAAACCTTCTACAGAGGCTGATAGGACAGGACAAGTACAGACTGAACAGAGAATGGATCCCAATGAGACCTGGAGGGAAAGACTTGGGGGTGCTGGTGGATGAGGGGCAGGACATGACCCAGCAAGGTGCAGTTGCAGCCCAGAAAGTCAACTGCGCCCTGGGCTACATCCAAAGCAATGTGGCTGGCAGGGGCAGGGAGGCAGTTCTGCCCCTTTGCTCTGATACTGTGAGACCCAACCCCACCCTGTGTTCAGCTCTGGGGTCCCCAGTATAAGAAAGATGTGGACCTGCTGGAATGAGTTCATGGAGGCCACTAACCTGATAACACACTGGGGCACCTCTCTCCTATGAAGACAGACTGCAAGAGGTGGGATTGTTCAGCCTGGGGAAGAGAAGGCCTCAGGGAGACCCTGGAGCAGCCTTCTAGGTTAAGCAGCTATACAGTACTTAGTTGCTAGCTGGGATTAAACCACAGCCTTTTAGTGGAAGACATAAAGCCTCAAATGCTAAATTAAAGTTCTCCAGTCAACTAGAAAAATGCATGGTTCCCTCAACTCACATGTACAGAAAGAGCTTCAACTAATATATCAACGGTCTATGTAATAGCAGAAACAAGTTCAGGTGTAAAACCAAATGTTATGTTAAAACTAAATCTGATTATATTCACTTAACAGAAATGCAGGATGATCTGAACCCAAGAGGTCCGAAGAAAGCACCTCTGTGTCCCACACCACCAAAATATTATACTGTTTAAATTTCTCCTGGTAGCACAGTATGAGGAAATCATTAGCTTTCCTGACTTCAGCACCAGAAAAGCATTAAATCCAGGAATTAAATGACTCCAGAAAACAAGGGTTTTCACATTCTAAAAGGTGAACTTTATCTTTAGGCATTTCAGTTTCAAAAGTTTACAAGAATGACAGGGGCAAAAGAAAACTGCCTCAAAGCTGCACCAAGGGAGGCTTAGACCAGGAAAAAAATCTTCCCTGAAAGAGTTTGCAAGCATTGAACCAGGCTGGCCTGGAAGGCAGTGGCATCACCACCCCAAGAAGGTACTTAAACGATGTGCACATGCAGTACTTGGGGCATTGGTTTAGTGGTTCACTTGCCGTTGCTGCATTAATGGTTAGGCTTAATCAGCTTATGGGTCTTTTCCAACCTAAATGCTTCTAGGACTCTAATGTTATTATGCACTTCCAAACCATGATGCAAGCACTCATGTTTTCAAAGTCTTCCACCAGCAATTGTAAATCCTACAGGACTGACAGCAGAAAGGTAGGTTTGTTGGGTTTTTTTCATTTAAGAGAAGCAGATGGTAAATATCTTCAACAAGGAGTTCAAGGAATCTCTTTTCAGTCGCTGGTAGGTACAGTACTCTTGATTCACCCCACAGTATGCAAGAAAAATACACAGCAAAAGCATGAACAAAACCACTACGATAAAAACAGACCTAAAAGCAACCCAGATTCTTCTTTCAAACCCAAAACCTGAGTGAATCAGAGCACACTGTGTATCTCACAGGAACATACACACACCTGGTCTTTTCCCAGGATACACTGACAAGTGAGACCACATTCTTGAAGAAACAAGTAAACACATGGAATGAACACAAACTATACTTGTGTACAGTATCATCTGAATGCCTGATTACCAGCTAAGCAAACAAGGTCATTTCTAGTTCACTACAAGATTGTTTTTCCACACAAAGAACCCTATGAAAAAAGTCTGGACAAGGAACCAAAGCACAACAAGTGAGTCCTGCTTTAAGAAAGGTGATACATTTCCACATCAGTGGTCAGCACTACCTCACTGAATGGGAGAAAGCAGCTCATTCCCCTCTTTCATTCAGGACAGCAAACTACTGAGAAGTATTATTTTCTCCCTGCCTCAAAAAAGATCTTTCAGACTTTTTGAAAGCAAAGGAAATTGTCAGGATTTGACTCACTGAATTACCAACACTCTTAACAGTATCCCTACCACAGAATTCATCAAAATTACTGCAGTGCTTCAAATGAAGTTTGGAGAGTATTCTGATTTAACAGTGACTATCTAGATGCTGATGTCTCAAAAAGCAGAAGAAATACTAAGAAGTTTCCATCTGCTGGGAATCAGTTGTTTTGTTCTGTTACTCAGCAACCATACCATCTGTTGAAGACTGTTCCCTTAAGTGAGAGGAACTTTAAAGTTAATGAGTAGTAAACATGTAAGATGTATCATAAACCCATCTGTAAAAGCTTTAAAACTACTGAAAATAAATACCAATCATCTACATAAGAACTGAGTACTATGAACGCGTGTAAGTTGAGCAATAATTGCTATGTCTCATTAGTCAAAGATGGTGTTACCAGCAACATCACTGGTTTTCAGCTTGCAGTGATGCAGTGGGGGAGGAATAAGAAACCAACAGGGCGGAACATGAGGACTTCTGCAGAAGAAGAATTTAAAAGCATTCAGAAAACTTTTCTAAATTGCTTAGGAGTCCCCACCTAAATTAAGCAGTTAATGTTTTAGAGTACCTGATTAAATTAAGCAACAAATATTAATATCATAGCTTTCAGTATTTTCAAGCTTTTAAAAATAAGGAGTGTTCTTAACTCCTCAGATATTTAGTCCTATACAGCTTCAGATTTATTTCTATTTTTATTCTACTCACCTCTGAACTTCTTCAGGGAAAGTGGCACTAAACATTAGTGTTTGGCGTTTCTCTTTTTGTGGCATGTCTGGGAAAGATACCAACTTCTTCATATCTGCACCAAAACCCATATCAAGCATGCGGTCTGCTTCATCTAGCACCAAATATTTCACATTATGCAAACCAATCTGCAAGTATTTCAGTCAAAGAAAAATATTTTTGGTTCACTGACAGTATGCATTTGCAAAATACCATAATTGCCAAAATCCACCTTTTACTTATTTCTTTCAGGTTAATAAAAAGTGAAAGTTATCGTGATTTGTTTACATCTCAACCTCTACCTAGCCTTTTAATCTGCACAAATTCACACACCACAGTGCTTCAGAACTTGGTTCAGCAATGTAAACACAGAGCTTAGAGACCAATTACAATTCAGCCCATCTCTTTCGGAATTATGCCTTGAGTTTTAGAAAGGCTCTCTCATAACCCTCAAAGATTTTCAAAAACCTTTTTTATTTTTCTGAAAAAGAATTACACCAGAAAGCATTACTAAGACTATTACAACTGCTGAACAAGACTATCAGTTATGATTAAACACCTGACAACTACAGAAAACTGATATCCAGTTTACTACCAAGTGTTTTTCCAAACTTTCTTTGTTCAGTGAATATCCCTGAGTCACCACACTAACACGTAAAAATTTTAATATGAATTTATAATGACTGGGGGAAATAAAAATTCAAACATAGTACTATATTGCTTTTTGTATTTTGGATCAGCATGAAACTATAATGTGAGACAGATAAAAAGCCACTGCAGCAAAACAAACAGGACATCAAGTGAAGATCTATTACAGAATATGCCACAAGAACTATGTGAAAGTGTTCCAGGTATTTAAGCTATAAAATTTTATTGCCATGACCACTGCAGCCACTTTGATTTAGACTGATATTATCCAGCTGTCTCTGAAAGGAAGTGAAGAGATCTAGACTCAGGCTACTCCTTCAAAAACTTCATGGAATTGAGACAGTCTAAGATAAACCTCACTTGTATTTCATTACTGTGCCTTCAGTACAAAGGCAGCATACTGACAGAGCCACTGAAAACCAATCTCTCCATCTATTAATTTAAAAGAACAAAAAATAGTATTTCATCTTTTAGTTAAGGGTACTTAGGAAATTTAGATGAAGTGTTAAGATGTTACCTTTCCTCTTCCAATGATGTCTAGAAGCCTTCCTGGAGTGGCACACAGTATATTACAGCCTTGCTTTACCTGACGAATCGAGTAGTCTGTTTGTGTACCTCCGTAGATCACAACAGGCCTTATACAAGTTCTATCATGTAGAAAAAGGTTTGGATTAATTATGTAAGCATGCAAACAGTACTGTTTCATGAAAGTTCATATAAAATAATCAGATGTACCACAAATCAGTTTAAGAGTGGTTTAACTCCTTCAGCATACAGCTCAGTCCAAAAACAGTGCTCAAAACCAGAAACCCAATCCGAATAAGCTTACAGTTCCCCACATACTACGTAACACAGAGGCTGCCCAAGTGGCTTGCTAGGAACAAACACTTGATTTGGCCTGCATTCTCCCCTCTCTTCAACTGAGACCTACTAACAGTAACAGTCAAAAGAGTGTTAAGACTTTGTCCCCCTTTATACAGCATCCTCAGAAAAAGCAGAACCACCACTACATATGCCTCTAGAGCTTCAGAAGGAATATCTGCAGACATTAAAAGGGGCAAAATAATAAATACACACATTGGCCATACACAGTGTGTGACTCAAGGATTAGACAGCAAATCCACCCAAAGACTATACTACTCTGTGCTCTTCCCACCATGCTTTTTGGTTAGATCAAGTAGATACTCTTCTGTGGAAAACCACTTCTCTAAGCAACAACTACCTTATGCAGCTCTGAATCATGTTTACAAGCTCATCTTTATAATCTTCTGCTAAGATCTTTACATGCATACAATGAGTATTCTCACACACAAATTCAAATGGTCTTTTACTGAGGACACTAATTCAGTTTCGTATGTAACAATGGTAATCAGATAAATGTGGTAAATTTTTACCAAAGTTAAACACAATTTTTCAGAAAGCTTTTGTCAAGAATAGACATTCCCTCTGGAATCCCACAATTTCAGTATTTATCTATCATTAGAATACATACATATTTCATATTCCTATTTGCAAATAAATCAAAGAGCCTAAGATCATGAATCTCAATTGTTCAATATGCAAGCTCTTCTTTAGAGACTATACATTCACATCCTGATACTGTTTAACTCATTCTCATTTTTACTACAAGTCAGCTGTAAGAGAATCTTTCTAGATTCAAGTATTATTTTATGATTAAATCATCTGTATCTACTGATTAAAAACAGCATAATGAACAGAATCTGCTACAAAGTTATATAACAGTTTTAGAGATTAAGAAGCTGTTGTTAAGAACCTATTTAGTAAGCAGATAGGCAAACATGATCATTCCTCCTGAAGGCAGACAGCCTCCAAGTGTAAGTTTGCTTGAATAAAAGCAAGTACAATTTATCCCACCAGATTCTGCAGCGATGATGCTCTGCATTTCACCACCAAACAGTAACAAACCATTATATAACACAGATTTAGTTCTCTTCTGTACACTGGTAAAACCTATTACTTAGTAAAAAGATTAATGACGAATCTAGTACAAATGTACTCTCACACAACATTCAAGGACTTAGTGAGAAGTTTAGATCTCCTGTTCTGTTTTGAAAGCTCAAAGAGTTTCTTTGAGCTCTGACACATCTAAGATCAGAAACACCAGGAGTAGGAGTAATTAGAAACCATCACTGGAAATTAATTAAAGCCCATAACACTCACTTCCATTTTGCCAAGATGAAAGTAAAGTAAGCATAAATTACGTAAGACAAGCGAAGAAGTTTCCTCATATTGAATATATCTAGTGCAGGTAGCTCAGTGTGCAGCTGCAGTGCAAGCTGCAGACTAACCTCTGGGTGGCAAGAAATCACTGGAGCCCATGCAGGAGACCATGAACCAGCACTGACCCTTTACTTAACAAAGGGCACATGCACCTGCATCACTAGCCAAGTCACCTGACGCTCAGACTCTGCAGGAGCAAATAACTTAGTAAAAAGACCTCAAAATATTAGGTACATAAACCATGAGCATATAAAAAAGCCCTGTGATTTCATTGTTCAGGGATCCCTTCGGGAGACACTCTGAGCTGTTACACGTTGCTGCAAAACAACGAAATTACTTGACGTAAACAGAGGTCAGATTCTGCTACGGGAAACCTGGGGTCACGTCAGTGAGGAAACCTCATCTGACTCTGAGTGGTGTGTGTAGGAAGTTAGGTTTGGCAGCAAGCAGCTCACTGGAGCCACCTGCTGCAAAGGGAATTTGGTCCCAACAGTTGAAGTCCCTGGTGGTGTCGGAGTGACTGCCGGAGTGACTGCCGGAGTGGCTCCTGAAAGGTCAGACAGGAAAACTTTCTTAGCAAGTCTTTTAAGAAACTTCACTTTCCTCATCAGTGATAAGCTGAATACTTATCTCCTCTTCAAGGTGGAGTAAGCCTTCCATCCACCCACCCCAGTATCAGAAAGATTAGGCACTTAAATCCCTAGTCGTACATTAAGAAACCCGCTAAACTGTAATATAATCTGAACTCATTATAATCTAAACTCAAGTGTTTGTAATTTGATGAGCACAAAAAAAATTTTCAAGTATTTATGAAAAAAATAAACCACTGCTGATTCAAGCAAAGTAATCATCAATACCAGTCAACAGTGCAAAAGCTTACCCATACACGAATTTCCTTGCTTCTAGGAAGATCTGATTTATCAGTTCTCTAGTTGGGGCAGTAATAATACATTCTGGTTCTTGCTGCTCTTTAAAGCTGCTGGCAGTTACACCATCCCTCATCATTTGGGCCACAATTGGTACAAGAAATGCTGCCTGGGGGGAAAAAAAAACCCACAGCACTATTTGGGCTGTTTAATCTTAAAAGCTTTCATCAGTCCCATAAAAACCTGTGTATCAATCTTAAAGCTTGAATGATAGTATACACAATGATCAAGAACATCAGACTGCAGAAGGATTGACCTGAATGCACAAGAGAGCATTGAACCTTGTTAACCAGTATGAAAGTAGATCTCTGGATCTTAACAGTCTAGTAACACAGGAACACAATCATGCAGTAGCTAACTTTCCATACAGTTCCATACACTGATTACATACCCTGATAATTAAGTAACCCAAGACCAAAATCTACTAGAACGGCAGATGAGTTTGCAACACAGCTACACCACATCAGCACATTTACTTCCAGATAGGACTAGATACCCACAAACCTGCATCTGTACAAAACCATTCAGAATTTTTAGAGCACAGACCCTGGATGTTTCCCCTTCTGCACACAGAAGAGGTCTTTAAAAAGAACTAGCGAGCTACCTTAAAACAAAAGTAGAATTCCACACTAAACTAAATAGCAAAAAGCTACATTCATAACCAAACATCCACATCCACCAGCTATCAGTTATGTTTGGGTACATTAGTTTAAAAAGCTGAGACAATTTTCAGCTTAGTATCAACTCTCAGCACTGTTCCATGATTAAAAGCAAATGACCTAAAACCAAGACAGGTGCACATCAGATTTTGTCAACCCAAGTATGACAAACCTGCACACCACAGTTACGCTCAGGTGTAAGTTTGAAAAAAAAAAAAAAACAGCAAAACACACACAAAACTCATCCACACATCACAGAAAAATAAAGAAACAAACAAACACATACACAAAACAAAAACAGTTTCTAGGACTGCCTGCCTATACTTCTGAATCCACAGCTGTATCTCTGAAGGCTGGCCTGTTGTACCAAGTTACTAGTTTACTAAAATAAAGAATAAAGGCCAAAATGTGACAACCCTATTATCATTCATATCTGTACCTGATACCTGCCACTGCTGTGCAAGTGAAATTACTGGACAACAAGCAGTCAAGCATGTGAGATGTGGAAGAGTGAGGCATCCCTCTGAAAGCTCATGATCAAATACTGTCAGTAGAATAAACACTGCACAAAACGCTTACAGTTTTTCCTGATCCTGTCTGGGCACATGCCATTAAATCCCGTCCGGCCAGTATAATAGGAATGCTGTACTTCTGCACTGGAGTAGGTTTAGAGTACCCAGCTTTAGCAATGTTCACAGTTAAAGTATGACACATGTTAGTGTCTGCAAAACTCTGTAAGAGAAAATTATTAATAGTTATTACACAATCACAGAACACAGAAAGTTTAAAACCCAAGCTTATACTGTATGATAGACATCCAAATACTAAAGAGTTTTATAAGTAGCAGTAGTAGTTAGTAGTCTCACCAGTCATTTACACTGCCAAGGCTCCTAAAGGTAAAAGCCCCAAAGGTCTCTAAAATCTGCTCATGCTAGCAATTCAAGTAACATTGTCTGCAGGACAGTGAATATTATGAACACTTTCAGCTGGTCTTATTAGTTTTAAGAGAGAATTGCTCAGAAGTCACATACCTAGATTCAAGCAAGTAAAATCACATAGCATGCTATGGAAAAAAACCTGAAATCTGTGATTTCATTTCATGTAGGAGTTACACATGGTCTCTGTACTAAAACCAGTAAGGGTAGCTAAAACAACATTCCTAGCCAGGACCAAAAAGCAACACAGGTGACAAAAATCAGTTTAACTTCAGTGAGAACACCTTTTACAAGATGGATGGGGAGAACACCTCTGCATCTTCTCTTTCAACACAGGTACTACTAACCCCTCTCCACTTCTCTCCTCATTCTTTTCCCTAAAATGAGCTTTTTTCTTTCTAAACTGGCCACCCATTATAGATAAACTAAGTTATACGTTAAACAATGAACTGCAAGCACAGAGAACAGGGCTACAAATTACTTTTAAAAAACCCCTCTGGCTAAACACATACTACCCCAACAGATGTTCATTTACATTTTTCAAGATCCCTCAGTAATTGACTTTAATAAGGGAATTATACCAGCCTGCCCAGAAACTATTGCCAAAGACCTCTTTCTTTCAATATCTAAACTGGTATTCTTCCACAATTTAATGGCTATTCTTCCTATATATCCAGTATTACTTTCTCTGGACGACTTATGTAGTTTGTTAGTTACTGTAAATTCAAATTTTTATATTTCAAACGGGGAGCACCTCCTTCCAACATCACACCATCTGCAAGATTTAGTATTTTTTATTGCAGCTATTTTCATTAGCTGCAAATATTGAACCCACTACACATCATTGTAAATCATGCTTCACATAAACTGTGATAATAACCAGTTCACTAACCATTAATGCTGCTGGAGGGTCCAGTCCTGACACTTCAACAATGTTTTCATCATACTTGTCAAAATTCATTCCTGTCTGGTAATGTGCAAAGATGGCTTGTTCATCATCAGGTGGAGGAGGGGGCACATAAGTCACCTTTGGACCTTAAGAACACAACCACTTAAGTTCACAAGCAATATAAGGAGAAATTAAAATAAAACTATTTTAAGTATGAAGCTACTGAAGTTAAGTTCAGTGAGATGTCATCTGGATTTCCCTCCATTTTTTTCCATTTTCACCTCCATATGAAGTCAGACTTGTAAAGCATTCATGTCTCACACTCACTGAAGGACCCCACTTTCAAGAGGACTCACAAAAATTAAATTAGGCTCTTCATCTTCATCATCATCCAGACAGACACAGGCTCTTAGAACACAAGGAAGGACACGCTTCCCACACAACAAATTACTCTTTCTGAAGAACTTTCTTTCCACATGAAATTCCGTACAGATAGATGCAACTGTTGCATACCACTGCCCAGAACAGTTTTTAACACACTAATACTTTACACTATAGTCATGAAAAAGGAATTACTGTTCTGTGTTAAGGATGCAGTTATGTCCACTATAAGCACTAGCATATTGCCTCTATAAAGACTTCAATTCCTAAAAATCATTATTTGAACTAAAAATCTGTAAACACTAGTTGAACTGAGTCAAATAGAGGCAAATCAATTGTTCTTAAGTATCACTTCTGGACACGTATACTAACCACTGGATCACAGAATGGTTTGAGTTGGAAGGAACCTTGAAGATCATCCATTTCCAACCCCCAAGGCCACAGGATGGACGTCATCTTCCCCTAGACCATACTGCTCAAAGCCCAACTGAATGCGGCCTTGAACACTTCCAGGGATGAGACATTACAAGCTCTCTGGTCAACCTGTTCCAACGCTTCACTGCAACTCACCCCTCTGACTAAAGAGCCATTTAGCCGTCTTTTCTACAATGTTTTTTACAATTATCACACAAAATGTTCTTACATGGAGAATATCAGCCATCCACTGACCATTGCACTGGTTTAATCCCATTCCTAATTTGAATTATGGTGCTTCTGTGAATAATATATTACTATGCTCTAGGTAGGACAACATACGTAGCCAGGTACAGTAGCATCAGTGGCAGAAGAATACAGCAGGACTACGGGGGAAAAATCCCTAGCAAACAACAAAAAACCCCCAAAATTAAAACAAAGTTAAATCAGGATTAAGTGGCCTGTCAGAGCTATACACCTTACTTTTTAGCACTGACAATAAAATATTTCCTCTTACAGAGGGTAGAAGGGTAGAAGTCTAGATCAACTCTTTCAAAACTTAGCAAGTTCTTTAGACTTACTTTCACCTTTGGGGTAAGCACTAACTGAACCAGCCTCAGCATGACAAAGAAAAAGATTACATAACACTACAGCTTTGAAAAGCCAGTAACTAAAATTCAAATGAGCTACAAACATGTCTTTCCAGGCACACAGCCAAGATACCTAGCATTTGCAGAAAAGTTCTTAATAGGAAGAAAAATTAGTGACAGTATCTGCCAGAAGAAGGAACTGCTTTGTCATTGATCACCAATGACGAAATCCATACAGCTCACCCCTGCCACTAAAAAGCCTCACCTGCACCATCTGTGAGTATTCCTCTTTCTCTAGAATCAGGAGTTCCAGACTGAGGTATGTCCCTTTGCCTACCTCTACCACCTGTAAGTAACAGATATGTAGCACATTGAGGGTATAAAATTAGTATCATGAAATACTAAAATTAAAGCCAGTACTATTTACTCCAACAAATCTGCAAAGCAACAGTCCCAACAACTTATTTGTTAACTGCAACCTGTATTGTATACAATATTTTATATTGTCCCAACATATACTGTATTATACCCACTGATACTCATGTTTTAAAAAGACCATTCCTATTCCACAACACAGCTGAAGAACAGCTGTAGCTAGTTCTACTAGCAGTAGTAATTCTCAGTTCCCCATGCTAGTTCTCAGGGAACAAAAAAACCCAGGAAGATCACCAAACATACCCTGTACCCACACAAACCACTCAGTATGAAAAAAACACCAAACCATCAAGCTTATTCTCACCTTGTCCAAAGCCACCACGAAATCCTTTAAACCCTCTGTTTTGTGTACTAGCACCATCTACAGCATTGCGTTCTTGAAAACCTGCAACAATACAGCACAGCACACAGTAACTCACTTTGCCCACTTTTGCATCAGCACATCAAGTGCCTTTCACCTGCATGAAGAAAAGAAAGCACTTCAACACTTTCACTCTTGACTGCTCACTCTCAGTGAACAAGCAAAGCCAGAAAGAAAGGCCAGTGAATGCTGGCATCATACAAACCATACAACAAACTTACACTCACCTTGTCCAAATCCTTTAAACCCTCTGTTTTGCGTAACAGCATCTTCTTCAATTCCTTCTTGAAAACCTGCAGTACAGCAAAGCACACAATCACTGATGTTTGCCTAATTCTGATGCGGAAGCCAAGCCCCTTATTTTGGTAATTGTTCTTCTCAGTCCTTATTTTATTCATATAAAAAGTACAATATAACAGTGATTCTCCTAAATATCTGAAAGATACTTTTTTGCCAGAAAGCATTCAGCTGTTCTATCATAATGTAAAAATAAAGAGCATCATCTTGTACAGGAATCATGAAGTTCTCCTAGCACAGCATCTGTGGCTTCCTCTCCACCAATGCCTGGTGTATACCAGTGTATCAGTCAGCTTGGTTTTTCCACATCAACAAATAAAAACTACATCTTAAAGGTTGACATGTAAGAGACAGTATCTTAAGTATCCATAAATACAAGAGACATGAAATATTGCTTGCAAGTTACTTCACAATTGCTGCTGGAGAGTCTACAGCAAAACGGCTTGTCATCAATGCCCTGCATCAATGTGCTGCTGTCTTACTTAGTCAAACAAGTCTAGCATTCCCCTACTACAACATGCTTCAGTCAAAAAGGTTGGAAAATGGTCATAATCTTTTTTGAAAGAATAGAAACTGTGCTGGTTTTGTAAAAAAGCAACTTGTTTTTTAACAGAAATTAATTGCTATCATGTATTAAAGATGCTGTTCTATGTCCTCAATGAGTATTACCACAATGCCTCTGCAACACTTACTAAAAATCATTATTTGAACCAAATATAGTCAAATCAATTGTTCTTCAGACACTAAGGAGCACTTCTGAAAATGCATAAAAATGATAGAATGGTTTGGGTTGGAAGAGATCTTAAAGGTCACCTAGTTACAACCTCCCTGCTACGGGCAGGGTTGCCACCTACTAGATCAGGTTGCTCAAAGTCCCAATCAAGCTAAAAATTAGCTGCACTCCCACAACTCACCAATGAGGAAACCTGTACAGCTCACCCCCACTACTAAAAAGTCTCACCTGCACCGTCTGCGAGAGTTCCTCTCTCTCTAAAACTGAGAGTTCCAGACTGAGGTATACCTCTTTGTCCATCTTTGGTACCTGTAACACACAGGTGCATATAGAGTATAAAATTACAGAAATCACAGAATCAACTACGTTGGAAAAGACCTTTGAGGTCATTAAGTTTAACCTATGAGTGAACACAACCTCATCAACAAAACCATGGCACTGAGTGCCAGGTCCAGGCTTTTCCTAAACACCTCCAGGGACAGTAACTCCGCCACCTCCCTGGCAGCTCATTTCAATGCTTAATCACTCATTCTGTGAAGAACTTCTTTGTGATGTCCTGCCTAAACCTCCCCTGGCTGCAGCTTAACACTATTTCCTCTTGTCTAGTCACTAGTTCCCTGGGAAAACAGGCTGATCCCTACCTGGCCACAGCCTCCTTTCAGGCAGTTGTATAGAGTGATAAGGTCTCCCCCCTAAGCCTCCTTTTCTCCAGCCTAAACACACCCAGCTCCCTCCACTGCTCCCTATAGGACCTGTGCTCCAGACCCTTCATCAGTCCTGCTGTCCTTCCTTGGACTTGCTCCAGCATCTCAAGGTCCTTCCTAAAGTGAGGACACTGGGCCAGTACTCAGTGCAGGCTAACCAGTACCAAGTATGAGGGACAATCACAGCCCTGGCCCCCCTGGACACACTACTGCTGATCCAGACCAGGATGCCATAGGCCTTCTTGACCACAGTGGTTGATGTCTAGCTGGCTGTTCAGTACCCCCAGGTCTCTTTCTGCCTGTCTGCTGTCCAGTCCCTTTGCCTCATCCTGTAGTGCTGCAGGGCACTGCTGTGACCCAAGGGCAGGAGCCAGCACCTGGACTTGTTCAGCATTTCACCAGATTCAGCCCATCAATCCAGCCTGTTTGGGTCCCTCTGCACAGCCTTCCTGCACTCCAGCAGATCAACACACACACCCAACTTAGTGTCACCTGCAAATTTGCTAATGGTAGATTAATCTCCTCATCCTGATCATCAGTAAAGATATTAAACAGGACTGGGTCAAACACAGATCCTGGGAGACACAAAAAGTGACTGACTGCTCACCAACTGGATGCAGCACCGTTCACAACTCTCTGGGTCCACCTGTCTAGCCAGTTCTTAACCCAGCACATGACACAAGCCATACGCTGACAGCTTTTCCAGCTATATGCTATGGGAGATGGTGTCAAAGGCTTTGCTAAAGCCCCAGTAGACAACATCCACAGCATTCCCCTCATCCACTAGGTGGATCACTTTGTCACAAAAGGAGACCACATTGGTCAGGCAGGACATGCCACTCCAAAATCCACAGTGGCTGGGTCTGATCCCTTGGCCGTACTGTATGTGCCATGTGATCACACTCAAGATGATCTATTCCATAATCTTGCTGGGCACCAAGGGCAGACTGACAGGCCTGTAATTCCCCAGATGTGACAAGAAGCTATCCTCCATACACTCCAAGAAGCTCCTAGATTTCATCTTCTCCACTGTGTTGAGCTCCCAGCAGATTATTTGGTAGGTTAAAATCTCCTACATGAACAAGGGCTTAAAGATCTTGAAATATCCTCCAGCTGTTTACACAACAATTCATCCATCTCTTCCTCCTAGTTAGGTGGTCTGTAAGACACCCACCACGATGTCAGCTTTGTTGGCCCTTTGCTGATCCTTGCCCATAGGCACACAACCTTATTATCATTAATCATACGTTCTGTAGTGTTGAGACTCTCTCTAAAATACAAAGTGACCCCTCCACCTCTTCTCCCTCGCCAGTCCCTTCTGAAAAGCAAGCAGACATCTGTTGCAACACTCTAGTTGGGTAAGTCATCCCACCACATTTCCATGATGGCTGTTACGTCAGTTTTCCTCCTGCACAACATCTTCCAGCTCCTCTTGTTACCAATGCTGCATGCATCTGTGTGCATGCACTTCAGCTAGGCTGGTTTCACTGCTGAATCTGGCTTATCACCCTTAGCCTCCTCTCTAGAAAGCCTGGTTTCATCTGCTTCCCCCTTCAAACCTATTTTAAAGCCCCCTCAATCAGCCCTGCCAACTCTGGCCTAGAATCCTTGTTAGACAGATGGACCCTACATGACTCAAACAGGCCTGCTGCTGTGAAAATGGCCCCATGATCATAAAAACCAAAATTTACTGATAGCACCAGCCCTTAAGCCAGTTACTGATAATGTGGGTTCTCCTACTCCTTTCATCATTCATCTCTGCTACTAAAGGAACAGAGCAGAACATCACCTGTGCTCCTGTCCCATGAACCAGTTGAGCCAGAGCCTTGAAGTCCTCTTAAAATGCACGGATGCCCTTCCTATCAAGCTCATCCCTGCAGACTTGGACAACCAGCAGTGGGTAATAATCAGAAGGCTGAATAGGTTAACAGTCTCCAGGTGGTATCCTGTAGCTGGGCCCCAGGGAGGCAGTAGACTCCCCCTTCTGGGGTGGGTCCAGTCAACCCCAACCCTTCAGTTCCCTTTAGAAAGGAGTCACCTACTATAACCACCCTTCCTTTCTTCTTAAGACCTGAGGCTGTGATCCATCTGACAAAGTACAACTGCAGGACCCTCCAGACAGATTTTTTTCTTTTGTATCATCTGCCTGACCCTCTAGATCTAGGGTCTCATACCTATTCTGTAAGAGCACCTGGGAAAGCAGAAAGGATAGGGAGGTACCTCTTTATTCCCCCTCATCTACTAGGTCTCCTCCTCCTGCCTGGCAGCAAGAGGGGCAGAGCTCCTCTTACACTTGGAAGGGTGTTATTCCCCCAGTCTATTTCTCTTCTGCTTCCTCTAATACTCCTTAGGCCCTTCCACCTCTTAAGCTCTGCCCTCAGACAGAGTAAATCACCCACCTGCTTACACCATAGACAGGGGTTTTTTGCACCATCCCCTGATACTAACACCAGGCTCAGACACCCCCTGCAGCCAGTGGCCAGGATACCTGCTTCCCTCTTGGGGGAGTTCTGTCTAGGTTACCAAACCCTTGCTGGTGGCAGCAACAGCAATAGCTTTTGACCACTTGTAAATCAGTACTGGATCTAGTAAACAGAGGGTGGGGGGAACAACAACAACAAAAACCACAGCTGAAATATCACACCAACTAACACACAACCCATCACCAGGACAATGGCTGTGCCCCACCTGCACTGCCACAAACTGACACACCACAGGTCCCTGTTGTGCCACACCCTCACTGCCCTGCCATGCACCTGTAACTTACCATGCTACACCCTCCCTGAGGGACCACACCTCAGTTTGCCCACTCCTGGTCACTAGTGCCACTAGAGCATTTTAAATCATGTGCAAATGGCCTACACACTGCCCCTCACTCCCCTGAATGGGTGGCATGGATGGGGGGTAGCTGCTTGATCAGCTCTTCTAAATCACACACTAGTATCATGAAATGCTACAACTTAAGCCAGCTATTTGCTCCAACAGAGAAATCTGCAGAGAAAGAGTTTGCAGAGAAACAGTCCCAACAACTTCTTCATTAACTCCAACCTATACTGTATTATACCCACTGATACTCATGTTTTAAAAAGACCATTCCTATTCCACAACACAGCTGAAGAACAGAACTAGCAGTAGTAATTCTCAGTTCCCCATGCTAGTTCTCAGGGAACAAAAAAACCCAGGAAGATCACCAAACATACCCTGTACCCACACAAACCACTCAGTATGAAAAAAACACCAAACCATCAAGCTTATTCTCACCTTGTCCAAAGCCACCACGAAATCCTTTAAACCCTCTGTTTTGTGTACTAGCACCATCTACAGCATTGCGTTCTTGAAAACCTGCAACAATACAGCACAGCACACAGTAACTCACTTTGCCCACTTTTGCATCAGCACATCAAGTGCCTTTCACCTGCATGAAGAAAAGAAAGCACTTCAACACTTTCACTCTTGACTGCTCACTCTCAGTGAACAAGCAAAGCCAGAAAGAAAGGCCAGTGAATGCTGGCATCATACAAACCAGTCAATGCAACAAACTTACCTTGTCCAAAGGCACTGCGAAATCCTTTAAACCCTCTGTTTTGCGTAACAGCATCTTCTTCAATTCCTTCTTGAAAACCTGCAGCACAACATAACACAAAGTAACACAGTTTGCTCAATTTTGCATGTACAGATCAAATGCCATTTATCTGGATGAAGAACAGAAGCCATTTTACTGATTTCACCTTTGTACCCCATGCTAGTTCTCAGGGAGGGAAAAAAAAAAACCCAGGAAGATCACCAAACATACCCTGTACCCACACAAACCACTCAGTATGAAAAAAAACACCAAACCACCAAACTTACTGTCACCTTGTCCAAAGCCACCACGAAATCCTTTAAACCCCCTGTTTTGTGTACTAGCACCATCTACAGCGTTGCGTTCTTGAAAACCTGCAACAATACAGCACAGCACACAGTAACTCACTGTGCCCACTTTTGCATCAGCACATCAAGTGCCTTTCACCTGCATGAAGAAAAGTCACTTCAACACTTTCACTCCTTACTACTCGTTCTCAGGGAAGGAGAAAATCCGCAAAGAATGGCCAGTCTATGCTGCCATCAAACAAACCATACAACTTAATGCTCACCTTGTCCAAATCCTTTAAAACCTCTGTTTTGTGTAATGGCATCTTCTTCAATTCCTTCTTGAAAACCTGCAGCACAGCATAGCACACAATCACTGATGTTTGCCTAATTCTAATGTGCAAGTCAAGCCCCTTATATCTGGTAATTGTTCTTCTCAGTCCTTGTTTAATGATTTCACAAGAAGTTCAATATAAAACTGAGTGATTTGTCTAAACATGTGAAAAAAATGAAGACAGGATGTACTTTTTGCCAAGAAGTCTGACAGGAAACAGTACTGCTCTCCTGTACAATTTCAAAAAGTAAATCAAACATTGGGTCATTAAGTATTTGACTTTACATGTATATATGCTAATCAAGCCACAAACTTCAACTCTTCAGTAAGCACACAGATCAATTAAGACTTCTGGTTCAAGGGCAACTGACAGCATTTGTCGCTTCACAGTTTTCTTAACTGGTACTATAAAGTGGCAATGCCAGTTGCCGCCTGCTATGAAGTGAGAACTTGAAAACATGTCTTTCAGATCTGCAGAGTTCTATTTTTTATTACTCAGAGCTGCCTATTCAGTCAGCAGTAAGTATGTAGTGTATTTTTTATTTCTAATGCACTTTCTTAGTCATTCTTCTGAGAAGAGGAGAAAATAAACACAGGCATATGCATAAACATAAGTCATACGCATAATCAAGGTATTCCTCATTTTAGACTTAAGTTTCAGGTGTTATCTAAGGTCCAAACAATCACCTTAAATCATTTACTCCTTATTCCTTATTTTTCAGCTGAACACTTGTTCTATCATATTGTAATGACAAAGAGCATCATCTGATACAGGACACCATCAAGTTCTCCTAGCACAGCATGTGTGGCCTCTTTGCCACCAAAGCTTGGTGTGTATACCAGTATGTCAGTCAGTTTGGTTTTTCCACATCAGTTAGAGACAAAAAAAATTACACCTTAAGGCCTCATATACAAATGATAGCATTCCAAGTACACATAAATACAACAGATCTTAAATACAGCTTACCAGTTACTTCGTAACTGCTGGAGAGCCTACAGCAAAACTGCTCGACATTAGTGTCCTGCACCCAGTAAGCCTAGCATTCACCCACCATAACAGGGTTCAACAAAAAGGATGGTACAGAATTTTTTCAAAGAATCAACTGTGCTATGTTTGACTGGGATAGGTTCAATTTTCTTCACAGCAGCTGGCACAGGGCTGTGCCCTGGATTTGCTGGAAACAGTATTGATAATAAAGGGATGTTTTCAGCTAGTGCTGAGCAGTGCTTACACTGAATTGGGGCCATTTCTGCTCCTCACCCCACCACACCAGCAAGAAGGGGTGAGGGAGCACAAGACAGGACAGGACAGAGCCAGGAAAGCTGATCCCACCCCATGTGGCTTCAAGCTTAGCACATCAATCCAGGGAAAGAAGGAGGAACAGGAGGGCATTTGGAGTGATGGCATTTGACTTCCCAAGCCATGGTCATGCATGACGGAGCTCTACTGTCACAGAGCTGAACCTGCCTGCTGATTGAAAGCGGTGCATGGCAAAATTTAATGTATCATACACAATTAGCCATTAGAAATACAACCACTACTGGAAGTTACCTTTGGCTGCAAAATTTCTTCCTCTACCAAAACTACTCACTGGCTGGTGCTGTGAGTTCACAAACTCATCAGTACCTATAATTAAAAAGCATAATTAAGTTAAAATTCAAAGCTATCTTTGACTCATTAGTAGTTATATGTTACTATATAATTGCAGTAAATAAGGAAGCACTGACAGTCAAAAATAAAGCCTACTCATTATGTCATCTATATAATTTGATGCTGCTATTCCATGGGGGTCCCATGAAATTATCACAATAATATTGCATTTTCCTTTAATTCTGTACAATGCTCAAGGGACCAACTCTTCCCAACATCAGCAAAGTCAAAACTGCCTTTCACATACCAAATGAGTCTACACTTGAATTAAAGACAGGTGACAGGTCATTTGGTCTCTCAAGCAAGCTAACCTGCAGAAAGAGAAAAGGCACAACAAGACGATGACTTTAGCAAAAAAGCATGTAAATACAAACACAGCTACTAAGTCATGCACTGGAAAGAAGCTGCCTTCTGCATCTTCTGAAAGATGCATTTCACACTAAATGGCATACTGGTGGCATCTGAAAGTTATAAAAAATCACATTATACAGAGCTGACATATCGAGCTCACTTAAGCACGTAACAATTTCTAGTATCTGAACAAAACAGCAGCAAGTAAATTCCTAGTGCAGAGAAAAACTCCTCTCTTCGGTAACAGTGAACTCCTATGGCTGCCTACCAGATTTCTAAACATCCCAAGAACAGGGAACGCCACTGCCCAGCATGCACTCAGGCCGCAGGGACACGGGTTGGAAGAAGGAAAAGTCAGAGAAACAAATATACTCCATCGCCACTGCTGCCCGTCCCACTCATACCTTCTCAATGGATGGGAGTAACGCCTCATCCCCTATCTCCGCATTCCAGTCTTCCTCCATGACGCTGCGCCCTGCCAGACCTGCTTGCAGGAGACAGAACACATCAGCGTCCGCCTCCTGCCAGGCTTCGGAGCGAACCGCCAAAGAACAGAAAATGGCGACCCGCACCGAGGCTCGCCGACGCCTGCGGGCGGGAGCAAGCGCGCCCGACCCGGGCGCTGCGCTGGCGGGGATGGAAGAGGTAAGGGTCCGGCCGCGGAAAAGCACCAGGCTTCCCTCAGGGCAGCCCCTCTCCTACCTGCGTCCTACGGCCGCCAGCTATACGCGCCGAAAGAAGATGGCGGCTAGCGCCAAGAGCCCTCAATGCGGCCACATGTGCCGCTGCCGCCACGTCACGTGCCGCGCCCGACGGCCAATGGGCGCGCGGCGCGGGCGGGCTCCGCCCCGGCCCCTCACGTGCGGCCGCTGCGGCGGGAATGGCGCTGCCGAGGCTGGCCGGGCCTGGAGCCGCTGATGGTGCAGGGACTATTTCATTGCCCACACCTTTTCCGAGCGTTAGCGTAATACCCAACATATGCTTCTGCTGGAATATTAAAAAAAAAAAAAAAAAAGTGTTGTGTAAAACAGGAAAAACAAAACAAAATTAACTACTCCGGATAACTCAAACTTTAGAACGATATCTCTTTCGCAGTCCTTTTTTGTTATACCACGCTTGTCAGAGATAGAAAAGTAACTGAATTCCTGGCTCAAGACCTGATGCTGGAGCAGAGGAGAACATGGATTGGACTCCTGTCAATTCAATTCATCTACTAAAATCAGTAGCAAGTAGTCTGGCGCTGCAGCTTGGGTTTCCCAGCTGCCAGTGCAGTGTCTATCTTCTCTGTACCTCTTTTCATGCTATGAGATAACATAGCAATTCTTATTTGTAAAAACATTAAGGAATATCCTATGTAATTTCATAAACACGGTAAAACACGGTAAAAAACATATTAACACATTCATAAACACATTAAAACACACATTCTCCACCACGTTCAACAGATTTTCCTCGTGAGAAAAACAACTTGAAAAATAGTGTGTCTGTTCAAGAACTTTAATCACTTCTATTGCAAAGAGAAGTGACACTAGATCTGTATTTCTGCAGTGAACATCTGAATGTTTAGCAGGTGCTTTGAGCATCAAGGCAAATTCCTGCAGCAGTTGGGAAATTTTGGAAAGTGGTCTTTGAACTAATGTTTTTGTAATTTTCTCATTAGCCATCATCTGTTAAGCCCTTTGCAGCTGTTTAGTTTTCAGGAGCATCAAGACAGGACTCAGGTTAGAGTGCAAAGTGGGTAAGAGAAATAACCAGCTTCTCTGTCTCACAGTGAGGTTGAATCTGCCCCTCTAGATTTTATATGTATGTGTGCATACAATGTGCATAGTGCTGGGAATTACCAGCTTTCAGTAAGTATTCAGTCAGACACATAATGTCCAAGGATGAACAATCTGCAGTGGGAGCATCTCTGCAGGAAGTGTGTTAAGCAGTTAACGAGTTCCCAAAGCAGCATCTGAAACTAGAGGGGGAGACTCAGTGAAATTTCACCCACTGTGGTAACCATTTTACTTTTTTCCTTAACAGGGAAGCAGAGTAAACTGCTTCATGAACCAAAATGGCTTCTGTTTGCATCACACTGGAGCTCTGTTTTGGATGGCCAGAAAGAAAAAGAACAGTGTGCCTGTTCTCCTGAGAAATTTATGGTTAGTGGCAGATGTGCTACTCTGACACATCTAAGCCAAACTGAAAGCTTTCAAATTGTTCCTCTTACTTTCCAGGAATAGGAACCATTCCCTCACCTTTGCCAGTGTATCTTCATGTTCAGCACTCCATACAGCTTAATACTTTTAATAGTAGACACGGGGAGCTACTATGAATGCAGTCGTAGTAGCAGATCTGTAATCCCTGGTGGGTGACCTCAAGTTCATTTTAACTACAATCAGATGTCACAGCCTCTAACTAGTAGATAAACTTGGAGAGTTACTTTTTTTCCTTATTCCTTTGACTCTTTGTACGTCACTCTCTACTGCCTCCAGATTACTTTCCACTACACTAGGAGAAGCCAAACTATGACATTTTCTGAATCACAAGAAATTACATGGCAATGGTAACTAATTTCTTCACCTCAGAAGATTCTTTGGAGAGCTAAATATTGTTTTCCCCCTATGGCTGCTAACAATTCAATGTAAACCATGGTGTCAGTGTACAAATTGCACAAGATGTTTACAGACTACCCTCAAGGTAATTTTACCCAACCAGCCCTACTCAAGCAGAGAGAGTCATATGCTTGAGCAAAACCAGAGCAAAATATTATCCAGCATATGTAAACAGCATCTTATGTATTATATTCAAAAACAATATGGAGTTGCAGCTAAACAGAAAAACATAGAAGTATTTTATAAAAACTTGTAAGAATTCACCCCAAGTGTGAGTGCAACCCCTTAAAGTGAGGAAGAATAAACCAGCAATCTAAATGTCATATTCCTCTCAGAGATGGGCTCCAGATGCTGATAACATGCAGTAAGTAAAGGACCTGCAGTCCTTTCCTTTAACTACTGCCCAAGAATGAAACCAGCAACCTCATGGTCCAGAGCAGCTGCAGAAGGGTGACCATAGCACCAAGAACAGGGGAAAGAAGCAAATATCTGCATAAACCCCATTATTGTTTCTTCTTGTGTAACAGTGCTGGACTAATAATGATCTGACACATAGACTAATTTCAACAAATTATTGCCTTAGTTAAATAGGAGATACACTTTCTCTTTGCCAACAAACAAGATTTCGAGTGTAGCATAGATATATGTAAGCATCTATAACTTAAATGCTATCCTGATGTATTATCAGTATATTTCAGAAAGATACCTGGAGTTTTCTCTAACAAAATCTAACACCCCTCCAAGTTTGTTACCTATGTGACCATGCTCTGTTTCATCAATGAGGAAGTTTATTAATTCATCTACTGTAATGTTCCATAATGCATCAATTTTATGAATTTGTGCATATTACAATTATAACTGCAAGTGCAGAGTAAAGTATGACTTGAGGCAGTAAAAAGAAGATTCAACATAGCATAGGATGGAAATTTCTTAGAGCCGGATTTAATACTCCCTTTGTCTTACAGATTTGCCAAGAGCTTCAAAATTAGTTTAGGCTCCCATTTTTCTCCTGTCCAAGCATGTAGGAAGAGACACTCTGCCCAGAAGGTAATGTGTCATCAGAAGAGAAAGCCAGAACACAAACACTGCAGGACAGAGACTGAACAGCCTTGTGTGAAGTCAGCTGTGGCAGCAGATTTCATGAGGGAGCAGGATGACTCTACTTCTGCTAGGCTTATAGTTCTTACAATAAAACACTTTTCCTAAGCATAACTCAAGAACTGTAGTGGGTGACCAAGAATGCAATGAAACACAGATCATCTATCTGCTATAATATTAACTTATACAAATGTTTCCCAGCAGAGAGGACACAGAAGACAGGCCTGCAAGAGCAAGACTAGAAACATGCAATGTGAAGAAAACAGTTCTTTACACACGTCTAGTTTTGTGGGTTTCAGTTTAATTTACTTTCATAGCACCAGTACATGGTGTTAGCATTGCATTTAAAGTTCCTGTGATAGCAGTTGGGCAGACTGCTTGACTCATCGACCAAAATCTTCTAATGGCCAAAGCACAGAATGTACACTTGGATTCTAAGAGTGCATCAGACACTAAAGATGATGATGAATTTCCTGGGTACAGAAATAAGAGTTTTGGTCCCAATGAGCTTGTGTGCAGCTGGATTTCAGGATGATCAGTAGTGTTAAGTCTCTGCTGCCTCATTTCCGTCAGCAGTCTGAAATTCAATTACACAGCAATTTTCTTGCAGAACAGTCCTGCAGTCCAGCTGCTAGCCATACATTATGTTTTAGACTTTACTTTAGAACAGGAAGTAAAGGGGGTGATTTGTGTGTAGCCTGTTTTGTAATATTGTCACATGGGGAAGCTCTCTCTGCTGTCTTCCTTGCAATTCAGCAGTTTTTCCAAGCATGAACTATAAATATCCCTAGATTCTGATATTAACCATGGTTTCAACTATGAAAAGGATTATCTCAACTTGATTTAAGTATTACCAAATGAAAGAAAGAAAGAAAGAAAGAAAGAAAGAAAGAAAGAAAGAAAGAAAGAAAGAAAGAAAGAAACCAAACCAAACCAACAAAAACAAAACCAAACCAAAACAAAACAAAAAAAAAAGAAAACAAACCTAACCAACCCAGGATTAAAAATAGTGAATTTCTAAAATGTGTTACTGGGCATGCTGTCCCTATTGTTCAGTCTGCTTAGTGTGCTCTGCTCAGTCTGAAACACCTCTCTGAGCAGGTCAGGGCGCCCTGGATAGATCACTCGGTAGCCAGTCACGTGAAGACCAGCACAGTTTGTTTTGGCAAGGGTCATGTATGGATTTTGTCACTATACTGACCGCAAAAGCATGCAAGCAAATGAGTGTGTGGGGAGGGGTTTGGTGTTGTTTTGTTTTGTTTTTTCCTTTTTGGTGGTGTTTGTTTTTAAAATTATTATTAGCGGCATCTCATCAGCCAACACCAGCAAGTGCAAATCTTTTCTTCCCGGCACTCGGCTCACGCTCGTCCGTACGGTGAGGCCCTCGCCTGGCGGCCCGGCTACACCGCCCCGCCGCTTCCTGGGAATCGTAGTCCTGCGCTCCGCAGCGCCTGGGCGGCTTCCCCGGCGCAGCCGCTGCAGGAACTACGCGGCCCGGCACGCCCGGAGCCCCGGCACGCTCCGGAGCCGCCGCCGCGCTTCCTGTGGCCGCGGCGGGAGCGCCGCGCTGCCGGGGCCGAGCCGCAGGTACAGGAGCCGCGTCAGGCGGGACGGCGGCGGCGGCGCCCGGGTGGGGCAGCTCGGCGGGAGCGGCCCTTTGGGATCTCGGGACGTGAGGCGGCTCCGGAGCGCGGGGAGGCGGCGCCGCCGGGTCCCCCTCCGTGTCCTCCGCCGGGTA